CGAGAGCGAGCGGAGCTTTCCAGAAAATGAAATCACTAATCTTTCAATCGACAGCGCCATCTAGTATCGAAACGAAGAACTAAGCTTCTAGAAGCCCGACACTCGAACTTTCGACAATCTTGTCGATTGGTGCGCGTATTTACCTGAATGTTCTGGATGTTTCGGTGCTAATGTGTATTTATAGGCGCTGCAAGGTGCGATCGGGGAAGTATTGAATTTGGCGAGACAGCTTCGACAAGCTTCGGAGCGGAATAAAGTGAATAAGTGTGATTAATTATTAGTGTTTTTAACTTTAATTAGTGTAAAGTGAATTAAAGTGTTAATTTAGGTAATTATATCGGCAATTTTTATTGTCACGAACCTCAAGTTCGTAACAATGCGTTGGCACGTGGGTGTACATGGGCAGTCTATTGGCAGCATAAACATTATTTTCTAGACTGGGGTGAATCTTTTTCAGATGTTGTTGTACATCTAGTGTATCCATGATATTGCTACTATTAGTAGATTATTACAGTACAATCTACTCAATGACTAACATAGGAATGATCAATTATAGTGATTTCTAAATATTAAATTGCATTATTTTGTGTTATACAAAACGTATTTGAGTCATCAATACACTGAACAAGACGCGACACGAAGTAATGTTGAGATAAGCAACAAAATGTTAGATAAGCTTGTTGACGCATAAAGTTACTATCAATTCCACTGCAGAAATTCTTTAGATTAGAATTATTACTTACTGGTACTATATAAGACCAAGAAGTGCAGTCATGGAGTTAGTGTATGGTCGTTTGATCGCAGTGGATCTATCGATACTACATTTGTGTTACTTCAACGCATCAAAGGCCATGGATGTAAGTGTTTATTCTATTGACACACTTACTTTTCTTTCTGTTATTTTCTTACGTGTATGATTTAGTGTTAACAAATTATATTTAAATATTGTGTGTGTACCGCATCTACGAATACTAGAGTAGTTAAAAAATACTTTTTTAACAATGACAGTCATTAGTTGAACATTAGTGAATGTGATTCTGTTTACTTAAATTACAGGAAGACAAGAGCAGAAGGATGAAATGGGATGACGGGAAGTAATGAAGCATTGTTATGTGAAGTTTGTTGAACAAACATATTTTTAGTCACGTGTAAATACTTTTAACATTTTGGTACAAAATGACACAAAATCTAAAATATATTAGATACATCATCGACATGGACGGATTTTACATTACATACCCTCATAAACATTTTCAATGTAGAGAAACGGCTATTCTAGACGTAAAACTATCTAATAAAAATGTTGCGTTTATCGATCATTATTTGTTTCGGCCAAGTTATCCTTTCAATTATTTGTCCCCAAAAGACAAAAAAAATACGTGTGGCACTCGGTGACTGCCGCGGTAAAGCTATTGCATAGCATTTTTTATCAACTTATGCAATTATAATTATTTATTTATTTTATTTATGCAGTTAAGTCTTTGATATTAAATCAAGTTACACTTTTTGAGAGTGGTGACCGATAAGAAAACAATTTTTTTTCTCTTATTGAATAAATGAGAAGTTAATATTGTTTAAAATATTTTTAATATCTTACAATACATGTAGGTTATTCAGGAATTTTTATCATTCAGTTAGCAGCTAGTGTACACGCATACGTCTAGTCGCACGCATACAAACACTGTGCCGAACTCTGCCGAGTGCCGAAGTCTGCCGAACTAAAACGACGTTAGACGATACACGGCTTTCAACGCCACACCTCCATGCCCGTCGGAGTGGGGAGCGTGAGGTTTTTTTTCGTTACGGAATTTCTGGATTCGGTCCCCGCGCTCAAGGCCCGCGATAGAAGCTATGCAATAGCTTAAAAACTGTTCGTTATTGTGAAACACACGTGCACGGCATTCCATATTTTGATGTGACCGAAGAATTAAAATGTGCAACAAAAACAAGAGAACATCATCCCCATATTAAATTGGTATATTAGAAATTTGTGCAAAGACGAAGTGATCGCTACATTGTTCTTGTGACGAAGTGTGGGTTTTTTACAAGTGGTTATTGCACGAAAATAAAATTTTAAATTAATCATAAATTTTGTTTGATTTCCCAAAAACATTAGTTATAGTACACAATATATATTAATTGTTTACACCAATACTTTCATTTTTATTTCACCCCTTAGAACTTTAGACGTGTGTAATGTTTCACTTTATACATCCGTTTACTGCTATTGTGGCAGGACCAAGTGGACGTGGGAAGTCAAATTTTGTAACAAATTTCATAAAATCAGTTACAGAAATATGTAATTGTGATTTTAATCAGATCACATGGTGCTTTAATGAAATGCAACCTTTATATAATTTACCAAATGTTAACTATCATCAAGGAATTCCAAATCTTAATATATTTGATGATGAAAACCCACATCTCGTTATTATTGATGATCTAAAGAGAGAGTCCGATGGAAGAATTGTGGATATATTTACAAAAGGTAGTCATCACAGGAATCTCAATGTATTTTATTTAACACAAAATTTATTTCATCAGGGTAAAGGGCAAAGAGACATATCTTTAAACTCAAGTTATATAATATATTTTAAAAACACTCGAGATAAAACTCAAATAAGATATTTAGCACGACAAGTGTCGCCAATAACCCAAAATTCATTGAAGATGCCTACAGGAATGCAACTCTAGAGGCACATGGATATTTAACGGTACATTTAAAACAGAATACCAATGATTTTTGTAGTATCATGACAAATGTCTTCCCATTTAATGGTTTCTGTACAGTCTACGTCCCCACAAAAGAGCTTAAATACACCAAGAATCAAACAATTCAAATCATTGCTAAATGATGCATCGTCGACTCACAACGCATAAATATTTGCTAAACGCTTTGGATACGCTTAAACCAAAATATCATGAAAATCCACTTTACACACCAACTCAAATACTCAGTTTAATACCAAAAACTTATAATAAAAAGGGACAGTTATTATTAAACTTAGTTGAAACAAGTAAAAGTAAAATACATTGGGATAATGAAGGTACAGTCATAATTGATAATGAAAAAATTCCTGGAAGTAATATTGTTGATTTAATAAATGATTAACTAAAACCCTTAAAAAGAAGTGATGGGTGGGATAGATTTGCTGAAGCATTAAAAGATATTAAAGCTTGCGCTAACCATCTGCGCTACCACGGCACAATAGACAATGACGGTATTCAATGAACAATAGATAAATAACAATGAGGCGCTAATGACGGTGGAGATACCGGATCACCGGATCACCGGATATCAATTAGATAAGAGTTAATTTATCTGCACATCTCCGAAACCGTGCATCCTACGCAAAAACGGACCGCAGATTCGTGATCAGAGCATGCCAAAACCTTTTTTTTTAAGGATCGTGAGTCGACGAACGTCGTACTTGTACCACTTCTGAATCAGTGAGCCAGAACTGGTACTAACTAACTACTATCATGTAAAAAAATACGTACGTAATACGTACTTAATATTTATTTATGCTTTATTTGTACATCAAGTACAAAAAGGCGGACTTAATGCAACAGGACATTCTCCAGTCTACCACCAGGCTAAGCAGAGAAGATATTGTGGATGCCAAGCGTAAACAGCCAAGTCAGAAATATGTATGTCTACATATTTTTACCATAACTACTAATAGGTACATATTAAGATACGTACTATAAACATAATTACACAAATACTAAGATACACCTACAATAGGTTATATATAATATATTATATGGCTTAATTAAATAAGCAGTTTCTGTTCAAACACCTATAGAATATGAAAAATAAAAAGTTGGGATTTAAGGATATAAAAAAATGGAAATTCACAAACTACTCCTTCGGAGTCAGAAAATGAACCCAGAGCAAACGTTAAAACTCGTCAATAAATCTTACTGCACGGAGACTAAAAGATTTGTACAAAAAGCTAGTGTGACGGAGGACATCCAGTCGATCCAGTTTGTTTACAAGTTCTCGCGGGGCATCAGCATAGCAAACATCTGCATAATCTAGAATGGGCAACATTTAGTATCTGCCTTGGTCCGTATCTGTATTAAATTCTGATATAGATTACGCAGCGTTAGTGACCTTTTTCCTCATTTCATATATGCGGTCGCCAACTGAGGGTGTTGTCTATAATTAAGCCCAAGATCTTTGTCAGTAGTTGAGTAAGGGACAATAACACTATTAAAGATATTAGGAGCTTAGGAGGAACTACCTGTCTGTCTGTCTGTGAGAGCCGACCCTTTCGTGCTACAGCTATACTACTAATATAACTGCAGCATGGCTCTTCCACGTATAAAATATTACACGTATTTACATAACATTAAAATATACAGTGTTATTACCATAATAAAAGAGTTTTAAGGTTTTTATTGACATTAGCTTAACCCTGAACATAAAATTTTGTAAAAAAAAAACGCTGTATAATATTACGTCACCACTCCATCGAGTTTTCTATTTTACTGAAGTCCTACCCTCCAATTCGTGTGGCGGATAATAAGATATTTTGTGGACACATGAAACAAAATATCTTATTATTTAGAAATGCAGATTTCTTCACGATGTATTCCTTCACCACCGAGCGTTCGGTAAACCAGTCAGTGACGATCGTACAGGAGTTGTTTGCGTACTGTAATATTACGGCGAGCCCTTAGTCTCGGAGCTACTCTGTTTGTCGAATACTCACGTGTTTACCACGTGTTTTGAGTATTAAAACATATTATGTATGTCATCTATATAAGTACACGTTTACATATTATCAGTTCGGTCTATTAAGTTCCCTAAGTGTCATGAAAATAATTCGTGAAGTTATATAATACAGTAATTAAAAATGTAAACTCACCAGTACGAACTCAACCCTACACGTCTCAAAAATAGATTCATTGTTAGTGTGGCTCACATCACGCGAGAACATGATCTCACGCAACAGTATTCCTGAAAACGCGGAGCGGGTAGCGCGTACGCAATGCGGCTGAAACTCATTCTGTCAGTTCTATTACTGTGCGCATTTTCTAATGGTGTCCATTCTGCGAGAGTCCTCGGCCTCTTTCCCCACACAGGTAAAAGCCATCAAATGGTCTTCGAGCCACTTCTACGAACTCTAGCAGAACGAGGACATCATGTAACTACAGTATCGTTCTTTCCCCTCAAAAATCCAATAGAAAACTACACTGATATAAGTCTCGAAGGCATTTCTGAAATAAGACTAGAATCTTTAGATTTATCCATGTTTGAAACTTCAGGTATATTGTCGAAGATTCCTGTGCTAAACAGAATTACGAGACAGCTGTCCGAAATGCAGCCCCTAGCCGACGCGGCTGTGAATATATGCGAAGGATTGAAGAACTTGTCACCTTTGGCTGACGCATTGAAAAGAGAATACGACGTGGTTTTGGTGGAAAACTTTAACAGTGATTGTATGCTCGGATTGCTGCACGTTTACGGAAACACAGCGCCTAAAGTTGCATTATCTTCTTGTAAAATACTGCCATGGACAGCGGACAGAATAGGATTGCCCGACAATCCAGCCTACGTTCCGCTTGTACTTACCAGCTTCACTTCCCGCATGAACTTCGGCCAACGCTTAGAAAATACGTTCCTAACCACATTATATAAGGCATGGTTTTACTATATGGTTCAAGCGAAAGAACGTTCTATCATAGAGAAGCACTTTAAAACGAATATACCAGATTTACGAATTCTGGCGAAAAACTATTCGTTAATGCTGGTCAATACTTTTCATACTCTGGACGGCATTCGACCAATGGTCCCGGCCTTTGTAGAAGTCGGCGGCATGTATTTGGATCATTCCCGAGAAGCTTTACCCCACGTGAGTTATTTTTAACCTAATAAATTTCAAAATAGACCTGTGAGACAATACACAGACAATAGAGTTTCGTCAGAGTGCTCACTATAAATTTTCAATAAGCGAACACTACGGGTTCGATCCCGCAACAATGATATTATTAATTGTAATTTTAAGTCCTATTCTAACACATGCTCGTTGTTAAAGAAAAACATCGCGGGTATACCTTCTGAGGAATAAATTATTTCGAGGTAATTAAAAGTCCGCCGACATTTCTGGAGCAGTTAAGAGCCTCCCTCATAGATTTCCTCATAGGGCAATATTTTCTATAGATTCCACGCTTGGCAAGCGGGTTGGCAACCTCAGTTTTTTTTATTTTTAGTTGTTATTAGGAAGACAGCATCAGCCCAACACTAGATTTGTATGCCTTTGTCGCCTCTTAAGACACCTACGGGATGATATGGGGTAGTAGATATTCCATACCTACACGTCCTTATTACCAACATGATAATATTTCCGGGGCGGTACTGTGGATTAATCGATCACTGAAATACAAGAAGGTCTGTGCCGTGTGTGACAAAATGTTTTCTAGCCGACTTAAACTTAATAAAAGGAAGAGGTTCAGGTGGAGATTCTTAATTCAAATTTGACTAATGTCAAGATATCTTCGTTAATTTTGGACCAAATTTAATTATTCCATTTTTAAATAATAGGCTATACTTACGATTGACGAAGTTTTTAATCTTACTTTCAAAACGACAATCTAGATGTTACCTTCAGGTTGTGATATTCCTTATTTCACTCAGAAGGGTTAAAAATTAATTTTTTAATTTAAAGTAAAAAGTGAAAGCACTTAAAATAACAGCCTATAATTCGTACGAGTGATAAGCATCAGCCTCTCATTTCTGAGAAGTATTTTGGACAAGGAAGTGTCCGCCGCGCTGTCCCAATACGTGTTGGCGTATTTTACATGGCTGCTGAATATTTTTTTAATTTCTCACAGATACAGGTTTTCTCACTATGTTTAACTTCACCGCCGAACACTTAGTAAATCAGCACTTAAAACTACAATTAACAATATCATTACTGCAGGCAGGGATCGAACCCTGGTTGTGGGTTGATAAATAATATTTGTAACCGTTACCACAAACGTGTACGCTAGACTGCAGTACGATAAATTCAAGTTACAATATTTACGGAGAGAAGAGATAATAAATCAAAGAACTCCCTTGTTTCCCTCTGTCGCTTCTCACAAGACGGGACCCACGGGACGATTTGAATTATATATACATCGCCACTACACGGTAAGCCCAAGAACCGATAACCGATAGGGAAGAAAGGTTCTCGAGTGGCTTCCTCATACCGAAGGATGAAGAGTTAGGCGGCCGCCAGCTAGATGGAGCAATCGTGCTTTGTGATATTTCTTGATGATGATGATATAGAAGAACAACAAGTACAGTGAAGTGTCTTCTAAGAATTGCTTTTAATCTGCCTTGATTAGATATATCAGAACTCTTTGGCAACGAGTGAAAGAAACGTAACCCCCTGATTTTTGAGTAGATTTACAAATATTGATAACATTTTACGTTTAACAAATTATATCACGATATAGGCGTAGATCCTTGGCCCTGAAAAATGTTCTATTTACAATCTAGGTCAATACTCAACTAAGGTCTCAGTCACGAGCACGTTACTAGTTGTAGCGTACCGTGTGTGTTCTCTTTAACTATTGATATAGGGTATAATTAATGTCTTGGACAAAATATACATTATTGGTTATCACATACTAATGTCTATTTCCATTAATATTTTAAAAAATCTCGATAAGTTTTTTTCCATAAAGTGGAGTTGAAAAAGTCCATCGCGTAATTTAAGTATATACTTGTGTTAGAGTGCTTTACAATTATTGAAATCTTAAAATAAAAATAACACGGGAAAATGCCTTAAATATACAATCATTTATTTATAATCAATATACTACGGGTCATAATTCTCACAAAATTGTACTTTTGCACGTATTGCCCTTGTCTTACTATCGCTGACTGTTGTTTTCACCAAAAACTGATTTTGCTTTGATAATTCCATTTATTAATTCATTAGGTCTACAAATCTGTTTCTATTTCGGTTTAATTGTAAATACATATTTTACAACTTCATAGCGCAGATATAACATAATAAATAGTTCCTAATTTCAGTTGCAAGGTCGGAGCACGGTAGATGAATTGGGTCTTCATTGTCCATAAACAAGGCTACAACAACCAAACGACTAAAATGTTGTCATAAAATATTTACTGGAAAAGCTTTATTTATCACGTTTTACCACACAGCAACCGTATTGTTTGCTATAATTTTATGTGCTGATTTATCACGTACTTTACGGTAAAGGAAAACTGTAAAAAACTGTTTATCTTTAAAATATAATTTATTTAAGTGCGAAATTCTGCAACTTATTCTCGAGAATTATTATATTAAAAAAGAAATTAATTATAATAATGTCCTCCAGACCGAATTTCGGTCACGGCGGCCAGCCTCAGCGGAGACTAGCCAACGGCGCAGGACAGGATTACAGTGCCCAAGTGTATGCACAAGCACAGGTGCACTCTCTATTCCCTCACTCTCATAATCCGATGGGACGGTAAACCGATACGACCGGAGAGAGATCAGGCGCAGGACCAACCACTTTACGTGCTTTGCTAGTCACGGGGATGAGACACTACCAACTTCCTGACTCCGGGCAGCTACTGAGAATTTCTAGACGGAAAAACTCAATAATTGATTTTTTGGCGCGAGCCGGGATTCGAACCCACCTCTTGTTTCGTTGTGCTTGCGCATACACTTGGGCGCTATAATCCTGTCCTACGACGGTGGCTAGTCTCCATTGAGGCTGGCCACCATGACTGAAATTCGGTCTCCAGGACATTATTATTATTATTTACGCAATACAACGAAACCAAACGTCAAAACAGTCTACGATGCTATACATTGTTTAACAGCCGCTTAATAAAAAAAATCGTTTCTTAAAGTAATTAAATACATAGTTTTATTTTTGAAATCAAGTCTGCAGTTGATTTTTATTGCTTAATTAAACAATGGTCCTTTATATAAGAATGTTTTGATGTAAGTGTTAAAACAACTAGCCCAGATACAAAAGTAAGCTCCAGCCCAAGTAAGATAGAACCTCAAAGGTTTACAATTTATTAAAATATATGTGCGGAAGGAATGAAGTGGAGATTACCTTTTTTCGCTTTTAATTATTATCGCAAATGATTCTTATTTAGTGATAATTATTTCATAACTCAATGTGTTTAAGAATTATCATGTATGTATTTTATTATATTTTAAACTAGTTATATCATTCAATCCTAAACCCCCTTACGCACTAGCGGTTGGCCGCCTAGGCGGTTCGTAAGAGTGGCCTGCCGCCTGACGCGATTGGAATAGTGGCTGACCGTTATGGCGGCCAACAGCGGTGAAACCGCGACGAAACCGCGATATGTGGTTACATCGCTCAATAGGCTTGTTAGGCCATAAACGAAATGAATGCCGTAGATGTAGATTGTGTTATCTATTTTACTCCCGAAAACAAAAAAGAAAAAAAAGTAAAAAGAAAATAGTGGGTTCATCCTTTACATTGTTTCTGTTTCAAATCTCTATTCTTATATGATGCTACTTCAAATATCCAAATAGCTTATCGTTGTTGAATTTCAACAATGAATTTTACTGTGTCCAAGTTCTTGGGTGCGCGACTCAAACTCGAAACGCGTACAAACACATCGGCGACTCGCAGCAAACTTAAGGGGAAATATAATGTCAAATGGCTTAGCAAGATCCTTCGTTATGCCGAAAATATTGCAGCATTAATTTTGAAATAAATATATGGTAAAGTTGAGGATTAATGTTAATGATTATGTTAGACGAAAACACGATTTCGTAAAATTTTCTCGATAGAAAAAAAATCCAAAGTTACCTCCAAAATAAACAATAAACCGCTGTTATTCATAAAATACTTTAAATAAGATCATGAAACTTTGCATACTAACTGAACTAACTATAAAGCAGTGCTTATGTTATTTACTTTTTTTAAAATACCATTATTTTCACTGTAAAAAGAAATTACCTAAACTATCGGCGTCTTGAGCTTGATTCCTGTCGCACCGTTAGTATCGCTTAGGCTTTTGAAGGGAGAAGTTGTGTCGCTTACGATCAGAATATACATTACGCAACAGTATGACGTAAAATTAAAATGGGAAATAACCGTGATAAAAATAAGAAGCGGCTGGCTTGGCGTTAAGAAACAGGCATAAATATGATAAACCTAATGAAATAAGTGTCTAACGACCTTTCTACTTACAGTATTAGTGATTACAAACATATCGGTACATAGCATACGACGCGCGGGGAAGTGGGGGCGAAATTAGAATTTAAGCTGACTTACTCTATACTCTTAACCGTCAGTGCGATCACTAGCGTATAAGCGTATAAACAAAATAGCGACCAGCCGCGAAGCGGGCTGCGGCTCTTCCTTCAACCGCCGCGGTTGAAATTTTGAGGCGGTTAAGTGCGTACGATCACAAGCGGTTGCATATTAAACTGTAAAAGTGGCGAACCGCGCGGTTAGCTGCCTCGCTGTTCGCCGCTTACAATACTACAAAATCTGGAGTCGACGTGGCCGTTGATATTGATCAATATTACAACTGTAAATGCACAAGTGATTTTTGAAAACAACAATCAAAAAAGTGTTGTAAGACGAACATTTACTGAAGAAAATTGTTATTCATTCATGGAAAATCAACTTAGGTACTAGTATACTTCTTCGACTATTTTTAAAACTATCAAAATGAGAATAAAAGAAATCCTGCTGAAATATTTCTGAAATGGCCAAGAACCACCGTTTTCAAGTTCTACGTTTTGCAGGTCGATGTTACTATTGCAATAGGAAAAAGAACCGCAAAACAAAGTATAGTTGTTTCAAATGTGGAAAACAAATGTGTCTAGAAAATGTGATTGTTATATGCCGAGATTGTTCATCTCAAGTGAATATTATGGTTAATAATGACGAATAGTTTATTGTTGCTTTTCTAAAATAATAATTAGCTTAAATAATAAATAAATAATAAGTAGCTTTTATTTAGATTATAACTAGAATTTTACATAGAATGATCTAAAAATAAATAAAATTTTAGAGTTCCTATTACACAGTGCCATTGACGATGAATGTGATTTATTTCTAAGATAAATAGTCAAGTTTATAAATTGTTAGTAGTTAAAAAAGAAATTTTCATTTTGTTTTGGTTTTGTTTATCTATAACGGTGATTTTCACTCAGAGACAAAAATTCTGAGTTTTTATAAACCTTTGTTCTATTAAGTACAAATAAAAAAATAACAAATAAATAAACTGTTTTAATTTTATTTTACACGTATAAGATCTCTTCTTAATCATATGCTTTACAGTAAGTCGAAATACTCATTTGTTTTCCCAAACAAGACACTTAAAGTTGCGGAATGACAGACCGCGCGCAATTGCTTGTGTTCGGCGCAAGGGTGCGACCGCTGGAAGGTTAAAGAAAAAGCTTACCTTTATTATTGGGGGGGAATCAATATAGTTTTCCCATCTGGTTGGGTTCTATAAATATATAATTATAAATGGGAATGAAAAGATAAATATACATAAATATCAATAAAATTAAAAAATATAAAAATACATAAATAAATAAAAGCCCAACCAGATGGAGGCCGTCGGCAGGGAGACCAAACGGCCGATGGTTAGGGGGAAAGGGAAAGAAACCGGCGGACGATGCGGGCGGTATCAAGCAGCACCGCCTTCTGCATTTGAGCCTGTAGCGGTCCGCCACGTAGTCCCAGCCGCCTCAGATGACACGAGAGGCTGACTGGGATTAGCCCGTTTGCAGAGACGACTACAGGAATAATTTCGGTCGGCGGACCACCCCACATGTCGGTCACCTCGTGAGCCAGGTCCAGATATTTTGTTCGTTTATCTGTTTCGGCTTTCACGAGGTTCTCGTCATACGGAATGGTAACGTCGACCAAAAATATCCTTGACTGTGCCCGATCCATGAGCACAATATCAGGTTTATTCGCAAGAATAGTCCTGTCTGTGATGATGACCCGGTCCCAATAGAGCCTGGCGCGATCATTTTCGAGCACGGTTTCCGGCAAGTACTTGTAATACGGCAATTTCCGATCCACGAGACCGTACTTCAGAGTAAGCTCCTGGTGAAGAATTCTGGCTACTAAGTTGTGTCTGTGCAAGTACTCAGAGTTAGAAAGCGCCGAACAACCGGAGATGACATGCCTAAGTGACTCACCGGGATGGCGACAAGCTCGACAGATGTCGACGGTGCCATCCTTTTAGGATGTATCTCCGATAGTTGTTGGTCTTAATAACCTGATCTTGTATTGCACAGACAAAACCTTCGGTTTCCCCGAAGAGGTCACCAAAGCGTAGCCAGTGGAGGGAGGCTACTGTGTCTACGAAAGGCTCATGTAGAGCCTTGTAGAACCTCCCGTGGAGCTCCTTCTCCTTCCATACGGTCTCCCGGTCGGAAATGCTCTGTACTGCCGGGTCTTGCCATTGCTCGTTGGCTAAGGATAGAGGGGTAAGTCCTTTATCACAATAAATGACGTCCTTATAGAATGGATCATCCGATCTCGCCAGGAAGTAATCACGGAGGCTGCACACTTCGCGATTATGCATGGTGAGCGCGCTCAGGAAGCGACGCCCACCATGCTTTCGCGGCAAATACAGCCTCATTACCGACGATCTCGGATGATGCATCCTATGGGACGTCATGGTAGTGCGGACTTTTCTATCCAGAGCGTTAAGTTCAGTCTGAGTCCACCTGAGTATGCCAAAGGTATACATGAGGGCAGGCATGACCCAGCCGTGTGCCTTATTCACACCGGGCAAAAGGCTGTTAAGCACTTTGGTCAAGTTTTTATAATTATTATTATTATTTGTCTCTATGACATTACTAGACGTCCATTACTGATAGAGATTTTCCATTAATTACCCATTAATCTATAATTAAATTTTGCCTGTCCATCACTAGTAATTAGAAATGACTGATTTAATTTTTTTTAAACATATATAACCTGGTATTATATTTTTCTTTAATAAAATGATTTTATTCATTAACAATGTTTTGTTTCACTTTAAATGAAATATTTAATTTCATTAAAAATGGTTGGCAGTGTTATATTATCCGCTAACGTTTTCTAAAA